GCTGCTGAGCCTGTGTGTCCCGAGCCTGTGCTCCGCAACGGGAGAGGCCACAACAGTGAGAGGCCCGCGTACCACACAAAAAATATATATATATATTGCTGTAGTAAAGTCTGTGTTAATCTCAGTTTTGGAACAGTGACAGTTTGAATTCTTCCCCATCTCTAAGACCCCACACATTTATTTTTGTGAGAATACACTTTTATATCTATGGGAATACTTGAGCTCATGCAAAATACGAGAGATTTGAGCACATATGAGATTATTGTTTTTCATACTAAGGTAACTATGTTCTTGGTTTTGAGGGTCCTTTGATCCCCATTCTCTCTTACAGGAAACTAATTTTCCCCCTTCCTTCTACTGAATCTACATATCTAAAGAATGCAATTGCTTCATCAATTGCCAACAAATGTTAGCAACTGTTAGCTGTGTCCATAAAAGGGACATTTTTAATCTTATTAGCACACCCCTGTAAACCACGGATTTACAAAATACTTGAGATTTTGAAATGGGTGGGGAAGGGAATAGGGGAGTTGCAAAAAAAGCTCTCTTCTAATTAAGTTTATTAGGTTTTACAACAATGGCTGGTCAGTAAAGATAGTCTAACAACCTCTTTCAAGGACAGAACGAAAGGACAGATTTAAATTTGTAAAGATAAATCTACGTAATGAGAAGATAGGATAGCTCATGAATATGGGTTTGTTCATCACAAACTACCAAAACAGAATCAGTTGTTGTTTATGATACAAGGGATTTTAAGACCTTAGCATTTCTAAAAATATATCCTAACCAATTAATTCTGGATGTGGGCAAAGATTTAGCTATAGGAATGTTCACTGAAATTGCTTATACTAGCAAAAGTTTGGAAATAACTAAAATACTCCATTGGGATTGATTAAATGTTGTTCTGTCAATATGATACATACTTAATATAGAGATACTAAAAATGATATTTTGGAAGATTACTTAGTTATACGGAAATATGTCTCCAACAAATCATTAAGTGAAAAAACAGATCTCAAAACTGAAAGTGCACTATGACGACCTGTTGCAAATTTTTTTTTTTTTTTTCGGTACGCGGGCCTCTCACTGCTGTGGCCTCTCCCATTGCGGAGCACAGGCTCCGGACGCACAGGTTCAGCGGCCATGGCTCGCGGGCCTAGCCGCTCTGCAGCATGTGGGATCTTCCCGGACCAGGGCACGAACCCGTGTCCCCTGCATCGGCAGGCGGACTCTTAACCACTGCACCACCAGGGAAGCCCCAACCTGTTGCAAATTTTAAGAAATAAAATTAAATATATGAAAAAAAATATGTGTGTGCACACATATGTACTGATAAGTATACATACACTCAAGATACACACAAACACACAGAGAATACACATAGAAAAAAAAAGACTGGACACATATACAGCAAATTGTTAACATTTCATGATTATCTCTAAGAGATTTTTGTTTCCTTTTTTTCTGATTTATCAAACTTTCTAAATTTTTCAAAGGAATACTTGTCACTTTTATAAGGAAAAGAGCAGTCAACATTTTATGTGTAAATGACTATTAAAAGATCATTGGGTAGCATACATGTGGAACTTATCAACTTTAGAATCTTGAAGGCATATGGTTCAAAAGCACAGATATATATGTTCAAAGAATTAAATTAATCAAAATAAATTTATGGTTAATGACCCCATAAAAGGTAAGAAATGTTTGCAGAATGTCTCAAAAGTGTTTGAAGTTGCTATCGTAGATGCAGCAATATACTTTCACAAAACCTTGTGAATAACTCAGAGGGGGAGAACAGGAACTGAGACAAGAAAGGAACATAGAAACAGCTGTCACTGTCAAAGACTAGTAAAGAAACATAATGGATTATCACTCTGATACAACAGGACATTTCTGATGTTCTCATGTTTTCAATCACTTCATTAACTGGCTTGTCTAATACTGATCATGCACAAAGCTGCATAACAGTAACAGTTAAACAACATGTGAAAAAGCATTTGACATAGTCTCTGTCATTCCATTTTTCTACTTATTTGTACCAAACAACTCCAGAGATGGGCAGTCCACCTTTGTGATTTTCTTTTCTTCCTTACTGCACCTATCTATACCTCTTAAGCTTGTCCTTATCATTTTACTTAAAACACACTCTGCTTTCCAGTGACCTTTCCTTGGGTAAGCGCTGTGGTTTAAAAAAAAAAAAATTTCAATTCATCTTGATCTCTCTTTGAAAACAAGTAATCAGTGGGGCATGACTGTCCCAATTTACCTTCTACCCTGTCCTTTTTCTCTTTATTTTAGTTAGAGGTTGGGGTTCTAATCCTTTCTTTGACACTAAGATCTGTATGATCTTGGGCAAGCCACAGTTTGTCCTAGCTAGGCCCAACTGGTATGTGTGAAAGCACTGTGTAGATTGCAAAGCATTTACAAATATGATTTTTTTTTTTTGCGATACGCGGGCCTCTCACTGCTGTGGCCTCTCCCGTTGCGGAGCACAGGCTCTGGATGCGCAGGCTCAGCGGCCATGGCTTATGGGCCCAGCCGCTCCACGGCACGTGGGATCTTCCCGGACCGGGGCACGAACCCACGTCCCCTGCATCGGCAGGCGGACTCTCAACCACTGTGCCACCACGGAAGCCCCAAATATGATTATTGAACTAGATGATCTCAATTTCATTCAAGGTCTAAAATATTTATTCTATACTTTAAATTATATTTTTGGTGAATTCAGCTGATCCAGGAGTCAGGAATTGCATTTTGGCATATTGCAGAAGATTTCCTCCATTACAGTAAAGCTGCTGATGATTCAAAACAACAGAATGGGTAATTCCCTGCTGTCCAGTTGTTGGGACCGTGTGCTTTCACTGAAGAGGACGCAGGTTCCATCCCTTGTCGGGGAACTAAGATCCCACAAGCCGTGTGGTACGCCAAAAACCAAACCAAAACAAACAAAAAACCCAGAATGATTTGTAACCAAAAACAGGTTCAATTACTGAGGCTGAAAGTTACCACGAATAATACATGATTTTAAGGAGAAGGCTGAATTCGTAGCCAACACCTAAAATCCCCATTTTCTACATTAGAAAACCCAACTTTCACCCTTCTTAATCTGATAAATTTAAATCTTAAGATTTTCAACTGAAATCACATTTGAAAAGGCTACTACCACTCATTTGGGATTTTAGTACATTTTGCTGGATATTGTCAATGGTGGAATAGTGATTACAGCAGGCAGGAAACAAGTGAGGGGACATACCAAAACATACACATAAAATCATAGACTCTCAGAGTTGAAAGGGCTTCTAAAAGTGATTTAGATTAGTGAGTCCCAGACTGTGGCATTTCAAAAGCTTATAAAAGTTAAAAAAAAAAAAAAATGGTGGGGAGGACAGACATAAAGTATCAACTTTTAGTTTTGCCAAACAAGGATATCAACAAAACAACCATCTACCATCAGGACCATATTATAAAAGGGCACTTCAACAACACATATATAGGAAGATAAAACCTCATAATAACATGTAACTTGAAATTAGATAAATTAAAGAAAAAACACATTATACTTCTCTTTTCTAGTTATCTCATGGAAAACTCGATTTGCCCCTGTCCACGCACAGACCTCTGGGAATCCCTAATCTAGTCCACTCCATGCACACCGTTACCCCCCAACCCCGAGTTGAGCATCTGTATCCTCACTACAACAACAAAAAATCCATTTAAATGTATACCCCAACCCTTATAGGGAACTCCTTAAGCTGAGGAATCCATTAAATTTTGGATGGCTGTGGTGGAAAATCAGCAAAACAGTAGCTATCTCTGAAAACTTGGGAACTTCAAAATGCTTAAACTTGACTTTTTTTTTTTTTTAAGACCAAACTCTAACAGCAGAGAATTTTAAGTGGGCCAGACATGCTTTAGAGTCACTAAAGGAGATTGCCTAACAGTGTTGATTTGGGAGTCAGGTGGCCTGGGTTTTGGTAGTGCCTCAAAACTTCATGCTGAGTCTTTTCCCTGTTTTCAAATTCAAGACACTTAGGTCAGCGCTTTATGAATACAAATATTTAAGCCAGAAACATGTAGGAATTCCAGTTATCTTCCAGGATGAACCCCATTACTAACTACTTCATCAGCTTTCAAACTTGCAGTTAAGTCTACATTTTTTCCAGTTTTAATGAAATTATTTTATTTGGGATAGATTTTGCTTAAATTTTCACAACTGAGGTTTTGATTCACTCATTTATCAGGTTTTGATTCATATTGCAGGTGATAGCATCAACACACAGCTTTGACCAAAATAGGATTCTTCAAGCTTTCTTTTGCGGGGGGTCGGGGGCGAAGAGGATAACTTTCATATGGGCAGTTTTTTCACGGCAGTAAATCTTATTTTCTATTCACCATATACTGGCCATTAACATTACTCGAATATGGTTTTTTTCTCCCTTTGGGAATCAAATCTCATCAGTGGGTAAACGACACAAAGACACAGAGCGGCAGGGTTAATTCCTGCTTTCCCTCTTTTTCCCCCTCCTGTAGAAACAGGGAATCCGACACTCCGTAAAGCGCAGAACTCTAACAAGACTAATCAACTAGACTGCTAAAACAGGGAGCCCTGAACAAACCCAGCCCGCACAGGGATGCTTTTCTCTTTCTCTCCACTAGAGGCGATAGCCTCTTTCAAAAGAGAAATTGAGCTGGAATGGGCCGGTTGGGGGAGTAGCCCCCGTAAAGATCAAAAGGTTAAAAACCACCTCAAACAAAGAGCAAAGGTCAATACCCAACTCCCAAGCCCTGACGTATCCATCTTCCACGAAAAATGAAGGTGACTCCTCCATAACATGTTCTCGAGACCTGGGGCCGCGTGCCCTTTCAGAAACCAGGCGGGTCTGAGGTGACTAACAGGTAGTTTGCAGTGGAACAGCCAACGACCGGAAATGGAAATGAGCCCCGGGCGGGGATGAGGAGACGCCACGGCACGCTTGCGCAGTCAGCGGGGTTGCAGTACGCGTGCGCAGTTGGGCGGTGACGGGGTGACGCTCGGAGCGTCGGCGGTGACTCTCACGGATCCGGTCCCGCCCTCCCTTCGACCGTCCGGGGCTAGCGCCCGCGATCCTTTTCCCAGAGTGCTCTGCGCCGTGAAGAAGCGGCTCCCGAGCGCTGGGGGCATTTTGTGTTGGCTGGAGCCGGAGTAACAAGATGGCGGCGTCGGCGGAGTGACAGGGGTCTCTCCGGGCGGGAGCCGGCGGCAGTGGTGGCAGCGGTATCGCCGCCCTAACTCACCGCTCTCCTTTTCCAGCCCGCGACGTCGCCGCGAAAGTGAGGCAGCGGCGGCCGCCAGAAGCAAGTGGCCCAGCCTGGTTACCGTGAGAACCCCCTCAACAATCTGCGGCCTGACAGAAAGAAACCTGACAGCAGCGGTGATTAGGTTCTCCTTGGCCGACTCTGGGCCCTGTAACGCCGAGAAAAGAGCCAGCGTTTTCCTGCCGCCCTCCGGAGCCCTGCTCCGTGGACGAGCCCTAGAGGTCTCCCGTTCTCCCCTTAGAGGTGTCGGGGCTTAGCCCCAGCCTCCATCTTCGTCTCTCAGGATGGCGAGCAGCAGCGGCTCCAAGGCCGAATTCATTGTCGGAGGGAAATATAAACTGGTACGGAAGATCGGGTCTGGCTCCTTCGGTGACATTTACCTGGCGATCAACATCACCAACGGCGAGGTAATCACCTGGGGTGGGGTTCACGACTACGCTGCGCCTGTCCTCCCCCCCTCCCGCGAACTGTTCGGGCCTTTTCCCACCGCATGCCGCACTGGAAAGTCCAGAGGGAGCCAGTTTTCCTGCCTTAGGAACCACCCCCGCTTTCTTTCCCTAAAAGGGAAGAACCCAAGATAAAGGTTGGGTGTACTAGGAAGTTTCCCAGCTTGTTAAAAATACACCTTAATCGAACTTTTAAAACCGTCGTTTAAGGTGAGGACGGCAAAATCCTATTCCTGTGATCCTCATGTTTTTCTATTTATATTTTTAATTCCCATTAGGACAGCATCCGATCGCCTGGTTTCTTCATAACCTCTCATTACGTTTTCTGCATGAATCGTTTTCCTGCACTTTAGAGGACGTGCCGCTTTCGTCACCACCCCCTGAAGAGGCCTTTGAGGCTGGTTGCCTCGTTTTATAATTACAAAGAGAGCCTTCTTTTCCCAGCCTCACTTCCACCTTCTAGTCGAGAGTTGGAGCTTTGCTCGTGTTTCCCTCTCTTTTCCCAAATGACATTGAATCCATAAGGATGTTGATGCCATCATCCCCTCTTTCCCCTGCAGGAAGTGGCAGTGAAGCTAGAATCTCAGAAGGCCAGGCATCCCCAGTTGCTGTACGAGAGCAAACTCTATAAGATTCTTCAAGGTGGGGTTGGCATCCCCCACATACGGTAAGAATCCTTAAGCAAATAGGCGATCCTCTGAGGGAAGTATGGAAACGGGGAAGATGTGTACGAGGCAGGTGATAGGGCCAGCTGAATCCGGCTCTTGGTATTTGAGTTACCTGGGTTTCCTGTGAAGCGTAAGTCACCCCAATCACAGAGTAAATTTTAGTTTGCCAACTTAGTTTAGAATTTCAGTTTGTAACACTCGGCTGCAAAGCTTCCGTCATTCTTCCCGAGGCTTTCATTTGCGGTTAAAGTATGCGGCTCATCTTTGATCCCAACGCGGAAGGGTTGCCTGCTGTTTTCTTTCCGTCTGCACCTCAGATGTTCTTGGGTTTGTCCGGTGAAGTGGATTTGAGGGTGCCGAAGTCACCGGGCTGGGCCAGTTCGGGTTGCTATTGGAGCTGGCTTGGGAAATGGCTGCTCTTTTGTTGTGTTTTTGTTCCAACATGTCTTCCTCCTCCGCTTAGAAAATGGCGGAACGACGTGACTCAACCGCATATTCCTGCCCTTTTCTCTGCTTGAGTTCATAAGTTATGCTTCCTTGAGACCCTCTTTAGCAGCCCTGAGTTGATTAAACCTTTGAAAAGCCAAGAATAAAGCTGCAGACAGTGGTGGGGTTCAGGGAAGGAGATGCCATAATGACAGTCTGATCTCTGCAGCAGATGCGATGTGAAATTAAATTTACTCTGCAAAATCTTTCGTAGTCTTTCCAGAAGTGTTAATTAAGTCTGTAAAGGATGGTAATGTTTGCTACATTTCAGTCTGTGTACTAAATTTTGTGGGAAATGGCAAAGGCAGTTTGAACAGCGCTATGTTGAAATTGACTCAGTTGTATTAAAAGAAAACTTAATCGTGTAACCACAGTTTGACAAGTAACTTTAACCTGTTGAGTTACTTGGTCAGTAGCTCCTCACATCTGGGAAATTGTGGCTTTTTTTTGGAGATGTGATATTGGTGAAGGCAAATAGTAATCAGGATAGAAGATGACCAGATGAAGACACTGGGTTCTTTTAAATGGTTAACTTTAAAGGATTTTAGAATAGTTTGATTTTTGAGATTAAAGAGCCTCTTTCCAGAGTAGAGACTAAAATATAGTTTAAGACTCAACCATTTTCCAACAATTACTCAAAAATAACATTTGCAAAAAGATACAGAGGTAGTTGAGAATTAACTGGAATGGTATTTACTGTAGCCTGTTTTACTATCCCAGCTTTTATTCCTCAAATCTTGAATTAATGACTGGGTTATATACATTAATTCTGATGTGGAAACAACCGGAGTGACACTATCCTTAAAAATTTTCCAATGCTGATAGACATTTTTAATGGAGAAATTGAGTGATACGATTTTCTATTGGTTCAAAGTCAAAATAAATTATTAGGAAGAAAATTCCAGGTTTATCTTATGAGGTAAATGTGAAATCTGAGATAATCCAGATTTGAGATTTTTAATGGTTCTCATCCCTTTAAAAAAAAAACAAAACCCTGCTGTGTAGGAAAATAAATTTGTTATTGTGGAAAAGTGAAAACCTTGATGAAAATATCTAGCTTTTTTCTTCACAAAATAAAAAATATCAATTGCATTTGCCTAAAAATTTTAAATTCCTTTCCCTTTGCATTTACTTTCATCTCTCCACCCTGGATCTCGCTGATTTGCTTTCCATCACTAGTTTTTCCTAGAATTACATGTAAATGCAATCATACAGTATGAGGTCATTTGTGTCTGGCTTCTCTAACTTAACGTAATGCTTTTGAGATTCATCTGTGTTGGGAGGTTTTATAAATTTCACAAATCAGGTTGAACTTAATGTATTTGAAATCATTTTCAAAAAAGCAGTAAGGGCTTCCCTGGTGGCGCAGTGGTTGAGAGTCCGCCTGCCGATGCAGGGGACATGGGTTCGTGCCCCGGTCCAGGAAGATCCCACATGCCGCGGAGCGGCTGGGCCCGTGAGCCATGGCCGCCGAGCCTGCGCGTCCCGAGCCTGTGCTCCGCAACGGGAGAGGCCACAACAGTGAGAGGCCCGCGTACCACAAAAAAAAAAAAAAAAAAAAAAAGGCAGTAAGCATCTGGCATTTTCAGTGCTAAACGCAAATTAAATACATGCGCTTTTATTTGGTAGCTTTTATTTAAGGACAACACTGATACAGACCAACAAGGGCAATAGTCAATATACTGATTACACACATCAATAAATGAAATTGACTTGTGAGCAAAATTCTAAGAGGTTGAGTGCAGAGGGTGTTGTGGTAGTTATAAACTGGATGGAGCTAAAGAGGTTAACCTGACTTTCAAGTTAAGACTTCCTGGGAGAGGAGATGGGACTTCAGGATCTGGCTCTAAGGAAGAAAGCTTGGTGAACTGGTTGGGGAGGGCATCCAGGAGTAAAGTGTGGCTTCTGGGAGTGGTCTCTAAGGCAGAATGTAGTAATTGCATGAGGGTGAGGAAAGAGTAAATTTGTTTTAGGAGTAGTAGAGTCCAGGTACATAGAAACAAAAAATGGATCATTGGTTTTAAAGTACAGTGTGAGAGAACTGTTTGTCCACTGAAGTGGAAAAGATAAGGACTTACATAAGCTTTCTTTATTTTGGGTGGCAACATCTTCCCCTTTGCTGTTTGTTCCCCACTATTTCCACATCAACTATATATAGTATACACTTAATAAATATTTACTTGGGAAATATTGAATTAAATTATTCAGTTTAGCTAGATTAAAAGGGCTGTCTCTTCTGTTACCCATTGTTTTAGAAATGTTGACACTAATTAAAAATTTTTAGATTTGCTGCATTTATACCACACTAATATCTCCCTCCTCCCCCAATCCACCCCACACCCTGCAATTTTCTTAAAGATACTATGGGATATTCTAAAACAAGGGCTGAAAATTACCTAGCCTATATAGCATACCTGCCTTATCAAGTCCTTAGTATGTAAGGACCTTACTAAGGGATCTATTGTGCAGAAGCATAGCATCCAGTGAGTGTAAAGAGCAAGAATGAGAGGATGGCATTCAGTCTCTTGATATTTTTAAGAAACTGAAATTCCTTGAGCCTTGTGAATTGACCTCTGGCAGCTCATTTTAAATTACTGTGTTTCTGTTACAACCCTCCCTTTCTTTGTGCCACTTTGAACTGAATTAAATTGTTTTCTAAAGAAGCAGTTATGTTATAGCCAGGCTCTAAATCTGCTATGTGGTACTGATTGAGTGATCTGGGGTTTGTCAGTCCCTTAACCTCTTTGGGCATATCAGTTTCCTCATTTTTGAAATCAAAAGAGGGTTTTGCCAGGTTGGTAATTTTCTAGTTTTGCATGCTGAGCTTTTGGGTAGGGTTTTGTTTGAACAAGTTTCTCTACTTAAGTAAGTCACTGGCCTAGTTGATCTCAGAACTTTCAGCTCTGAATTTTAAGATTTATTTTCAGATGATGGTAGCTAGAAAGCATTTCATCACATTTGGTGTTTTGTCTGGATCTTACCTTTGAATGATATTTTAGTAGTGAGATACCACTCAGGACCTTAAAAATGCTACCTGTGTCAGGTAAACCATAGGTTACCACTTAGGAGAAAGTAAATTAATGGGATATACTTTTATAGGAAAACATGATAAAGAAAATAGGAGGGGCATAGGATAATTTTGGTTGTCTTGTTTTTTGTTGTTGTTTTTTTTTTAATATTTATTTATTTGGTTGCACCGGGTCTTAGTTGCAGCACATGGGCTCCTTACTTGTGGCATGTGAACTCTTAGTTGCGGCATGCATGTGGGATATAGTTCCCTGACCAGGGATTGAACCCAGGCCCCTCTGCATTGGGAGCACGGAGTCTTATGCACTGCTCCACCAGGGAGGTCCCAGTTGTCTTGTTCTTTCACCACTTTTTTTTTTTTTTGCCCTCTTTGAATGTCAAATATTCTAGGAGATATTTATAAAGTACTAGTTAATCCTTACTGTCCAGTGTTAAAAGCAGCTTAAATTTTAATCTTAGCTTTTTGGCACTGAGCATATATCCTGTAAATAAGTTCTAATATTCTTATCAGAGAACAAAGATGATGTCTACACTGGGTATGTCTTTATTAGAGAGATAACATTACAGATCACAGGATTCATACAGTAACTGAATCCGTGGTACACTAAGGGTACTTATATTGGCTTATGCTGGATTTCTAGTAATGGAATAATGTAATGATGCTTAGATAGCATTTGGAGCTGGATGAACCCTGAGAGATAATAGCCCAACACTTCATGATATATAAATTAGACTGTTGAGTCTCGGAGGGGTTACTAGAAATCTCCTAACTTCCAATTTTCCTGTGAGCCATTTTCACCTTTATGTCAAGGTCAAATCATGTCTGCTTACATAACCCACACCTTTTCATTTAATGCTGCAGAGCCATATTTTGCCTCCTTCACTCTATGGCGTTTGGTCTCATACAGAAAAACTGATAAATGTAAGTAACCTATTGTTTGTATTATTATTTAATTAGATCCTTATGATTCTTATTCTCCCTTTTGAATCCATGGATTGCTGGATGAGAACTTTTGTGGACATTATTAATTTGTATCTTAAAGTGGAGTAAATACTTGTAAACCCTTGTATAGTCCATGGATTTTACTACCTTGGCTTTAGTCGATTTTAGAGCTAGATTATTTTGTTTCCAAGTACATTTAATCTGTACCTAAGGTATGATTTAGTGATGTTTTCTCATGATCTGTCCTGTTTAGTAAGAAACTTTAATGTCAAGAAGTCTATACAAGAGAAAACTAGAGTTTGAAACAAATGTTATAAATCTAATCTTTTGGTTTATTCCATTTTATTCTTAAAATCAGCCTTTGAATTTTAACAGAAATTTTTCTGAGGCTAAATGAGTACCTTAATAGGTTTCATAATATAAATGAATAGTCTAAATTATGCTTTTTGTTACTGTTTGTATTTCCAGTACAATCTCAGGTGGCTCTTGAAAATTGTTAATAACCAGTAATCACATAACATGTACTTATCCATGTCTTAATGG